AATGTTATATGTTTTTTTTTCTATTCTTAGGCTTATTATTCCAACGCCAGATAATCTTAAACAGAGCAATTCTTCCATACTAAAATCTGTATAATTTCAGTTTTAATCTACTGTTAAGAATTAACTGATGGTTGACAAATCGGCCCTATGACATAAATATCCCGGTATAAGACCACCACGAAAATTATATATCGATCATACCATTTTAATATTATCACTTCATCATCAACCGGTAGATACATGAGGAGTTCTTTGGTAGTATTTTCACACATCGGGTTACATTATCGAAATTTTCACATGGTTCCCTTTTTCTCTCTTCTTATACTATTATCTTTTATACTTTATACTTATTATATAAAGCGGAAGAGTTTGTTTTTTTGTTTGTTTGTTTGAACGCGCTAATCTCCGTAACTACAAGTCTGATTTGAATAACTCTTTTGTGTAGGATAGCGCATTTATCGAGGATGGCTATAGGCTATAAAACATCATTCTACGACCAATAGGAGCTGAGCAGAGCGTTTGAAACCGCGCGGAAGTAGCTAGTATTAAATATAGCCTATGTTCATCATCGATAATGTAGGATTCCAACTGTAAAATAATTATTCGAATCGGTCCGGTAGTTTCGGAGGAGATTCAATTCAAACAAACAAACAAAAAAATCAAATCTTCCCTCTTTATACTATTAGTGTAGACACTGAATATGTTATCTAAATAAGTAATCTAATACTTACGGTTGACATCAATCGATATGTTTTCTGAAACTGGAGCTATGAGAGGGTCGGTAACGGCCTGTAAACAAAATGTATAAAATTAAATAAAATAATTTATACACTTATGCTTATTTATTTCCATAATGTTACTATCTACCAGATTGAAATGGTTAATAATATACTTTAGATCTATTTTAGGTTTAAGTAGTAGTATCTTAGATTAAGATTTTTCTAAATGGCTGGACCGATTTGGCTGATTTTTTTTTTTTTTGTGTTTGTTATTGTCAGGAGATGGTTCTTATGATAGAAAAAAAAAATCCTGAAAATCTTATGGGAACGGGAGAAAACGGGATTGCGCGTACGAAGTCGCGGGAAAAAGCTAGTAATATATAGAAACTAGCGTACCCAACAGACGCTGTCCTGCATATCCACTTGAATGTATAAACAAAAATTTAATTAAATTAGTTCAGCTGTTTAGGATAAATAACCTAAACAACGACTGCAGCGCCATCTGCCGGGCTGATTTGTGAATCTAAACCATTCCCAGATCCCCTTGAACACACACAAAAAATTTCATCAAATTCGGTCCGGTCGTTTGGGAAAAGTTCAGTGACATACACACTCACAGAAGAATTATATATATATAAAGATCTATATAAATCGCTGAAGCTTTATTTGTTTCATCTCATGATTTTATTATTATTCTTACCTGACAGGTTACATCAGTGCCGAAGTCAGACCTCTGCAGCCTGAATGAGACGGTAGCCCTCGCCTCGGAGTTGGCGAGCAGTGCGTGGGCCTTCCACCACGAGACTCGCGCTATTGGACGACCTGGACAGATGGTAAAATTATATTCATTCATCACGACTTTTGAAAATGTGGGCAGACGTGGACCGGGTCTGAGCAAATGTAGTGTAGGGCGCCGTCCAGCTAGATAGAGTCACGATATCCGCAAGGTGGCTGGCAATGGTGGGCTGAGAAGAGCTGAAGACCGAGCTCAGTGCCGTGCCATTGCAGAGGCCTATGCTCAGCAGTTTTTTTTTATGGCATAAGCCGGTAAATGAGCACACGGACCACCAGGGTGCTTTCTCTTGAAACCAATCTCAATGTCAATGCAATTTCAATCCAAAAAAATCTCAATAATTATTCAATGTCAAAATTATACAACCCCTATTGTATCTGTTAAAGTAGCATTCAGAGTACGGAATATAAAGCCAAACTCACTACCATTTAGTTCATTCAATATCCACTCAATACGGATGCAAGGGGCGCTAGTATTGCAACTCAAGAGTACGAAATTTCACAATGTCAATGTCGATCGATCGGAATTGGATTCAAGAGTAAGCCCCCTGATGGTAAGCAGTCGGCGTCGCCCATGGACACCTGGAACACCAGAGGCGTTACAAGTGCGTTACCGGCCTTTTGGGGATTAGAAGTTTGAGGATGGTTGGGGATTCAGGGATCGGGGAGATTGGAGAAGGAGAGGACAGACAAGGGGAGGACAGACAAGGGGAGGGAAAGCAGTGCTGTTGATAATGATTGATGACTAGTATTATAAATGCTATAGTTTCTGTTTATTTGTTACTCCATCACGTTAAAACGGCTGAAGCGATCGGGATGAAATTTGAAACAGGGGTAGATTATAGTCTGGTATAACATACAGCCTACGTTTCAGTTCACGGGAACTCGGACGAAACCGCTAGCAGAAGGTAGAACTAGTATAAGAGACAGAATTATTATTACGTAATGATTTAAAAAGAAGAAAAAGAAAGAAAGAAAAATCGTTTATTTGCACACCGTCACAAGGTACAATAACACAAAAATATAAAACAATATAGCACTGACGGCGCAAAAAGGCCAGAGCTCAGCTTAAATGCCGTGACACGAGTGTGCTCGAGTCGCGGCGCTGATTTTCAGCACTTGCCCGTGACTTATAATATTATACATATAATAATAATAATAGAATAACAATAAAAATATATATAGGTACATACAAATTAAAATAAACAATGTGATGAAAAAAAAAATTTCTCGTCGCATTTTATTTTTTATATAGGTACTGTAGGTACACAAAGCACCGCTAATTAGTTCGAGGCGCTACACATCGACATTACTATCATTTACACAGTGAACATGTGTGGGTAATTTCATATTAATAGATATGTATAGAAACATTCGTTCTATCACACACATCTTGGTATTACATATCATTTTTGTGTCGGTATACGTAATATTTTAGTAAATAAGTTTAAATAAAAACGAGGGTAAAGATAAAAATACTCATAACAAACTTTGAATAAATCGAAATCAAAAATAATGAACGATCGAGCAATACAATACTTATATAAATATAGTGCATTCTCATTGTATTTTTATGTTACTGAATGATATACAATATTTCGATGTTCTCATTTACGGCGCGCTTGGCGCAATGGTTATCGCCTCCAGTGGTCAAGTAAAGTGCCACCGGATCGATTCCAGCATTCACATGTTGTTTTAGTATTAATTAATCAAATATTTGAAATGTGAAATTAGAAACAATTAAATCTTTTCTTTTTTTCCTATCCTATTTTTCTAAATCTTATGTTAATTTTAATAGTAAATACTTTAGATTTATTTATACCTATAATATCCTTTATTTATATTTTAGTTCTAGTTATTTATTATTTAGAATAATTTAGAATGATTGGAAGAACTTTAAAGTTAACATGTGGTATATAATTAATTATTAGATATAAATATTGAATATAAAACCACATATTTGTATAATTAATAAATTAATTTTAATAAAAAATAGTATTGTTTTATTTACCGACTGATTTGCTTCTTTTATAGCCTGATATTTATATTATATGACAAAAAACAAAAAAAAAATAAATAAGAAAAACAACAAGGTAAAATAAAAAAAAACTTTTAGCTGGAATAGAACCCACATCATCATTGATCCTTGAAAGACGATAAAAGCGTACTCATTAACCAATCGACCACGAGCACTACGATAATTACAGTGAAAATGTCGGGTCATATCAATGATTGTAAATAGTTTTAACCTTACCCATGCATTAAATTATAAAAATACGTATACCGACACAAGAATGAAAATACCAATGTGAACGTGGTGGACGAATATTTTTATACACAGTAATATGAAATTACCCACACATGTACATTGTGTAAATGACAGTAGTGTCGATGTGAGCGTTACGAACTAATTAGCGGTGCTTGAGATCAGCCGACGACCGTGCTTCAACAGGGATGGTGGCTGGGCACTGCCACCCGCGTGGAAGCCGAGCTTGGAGTCTTCGTCGATCCACAGCGTCTCCAGTCTGGAGTGTGACACAGTAAGCGTTATATGCAACACTGACTTTGTGCCGAACCCGGAATCGAACCCACGACCCGCGCCGCTGGTGAACGTACCGTGCGCTTTAGCTTCGTCCAACGCGCTGCCGGAGTTGGAAGCAAACGCTCGTAGTGTCCGACAGAGGGCGCGTTGGGCTCGCAGCGCAGGTGGCAACACCGAGGCGAGCGCCAACGCCAGCCAGTGAGCTGCGCGACGTCGCCGCGACCGCGCACGCTGCTCATGAGGAAGAACCCCTCTGTGGTTCGAAACTAGTAGAGCTTTTCTCAGTATATTCACGTGAGTAACCCGCGTTTTTACTTAATTTAGTATGTCTCACGATAGTTATTATAGAAAATATCCTACTTACTAACAAGAAACATAACATAACATCACTCCTTTTATCCCCGAAGGGGTAGGTAGAGGTCCCATGTTATAGGGGATGAGCTTATTACCATACATCTGGCGCATTTCCAGACTCCGTGCTACGTACTACTGAGATTTTTTTAAAAACTCAATAATACTAATCTCCCCAATCACTGAATCCCCAACAATCCTAATTCCTAATCCCCTAAAGGCTGGTGCGGTAACGCACTAGTAACGCCTCTGGTCCTTGTTCCAGGTATCTTGGGGCGACTTAGATTGCTTAACATCAGGTAATCCGCCTGCTCGTTTACCGGCTTATTCCATAAAAAAGAAGGAAAGGAAAATTTCTAGTCACACCAACGAATCAGGCTAAAAATCTTATTTAGAGGTATATAGAAAAAGCCAGCCAAGAACTCAGCACACAGAGACCCACGTAAAAAACTCGACACGTCTTAAACAAAAGCTTCAAGGACGTTACTTACGAGCTAAAAACTTTCCGAAAAACTCGGAAAACTCGGCAGTTTAACAGGGGAACCCACATAATTACTGAACGGCTACAAAAGGCCAGACATACTCGTATAATTGTATATTTTACATTGTGTTCGCGAATGGCTTGAGTGAATAAAAAAACTGTAAAACAATGGCGTACCCATGTCAAGTGAGGGTGCAGGGTGTGGTGTAATGCAGGAGCGATGGCGAGTGGGATTAGAAGAAAATTAAGAGAGTTATTTTAACATAAGGTTCCCTACCATAACATAGTCTATATCCATCAGTGAACAGGCGTCTTAATTATGCCCGACATATTACGAAACGTCATGGTAATCCGGAGGTTTAACATGCATGAGATGAGAGTGCGGGTTCAAAACCTATCAACGGCAAGGCATTGTGACTTTTTCCGAATTACATGTACTTTCTAAGATTATCTAGACAGCACTGAAGGAAAACCAACGGTGAACAAACCCGCTCTATCATCGCCAAATCATCAACTTATCGTCATTACAAAGCGTATTGTACTTTATTTAAAAAGGTTAAACCAATTTTTAAATTATTGCGCTACCCGCTTCAGCTTACATTTTACGCCGGAGAAAATCGTGTGCGTGAATCGGACATTTTTCGTGAAAACGGAACACCCTAGGGTGACGGTTGATACAGGTTGGTGCAATCTTATGCCAGCGCCACATACAGGGTGTTCGCAACTTTGTACCACATTGATATTTTGAAATTGTATCATTTCATGGCACAGTTGTTACTTTTGTGAACGAACTCATTGGAATGATTTTGAGGTATTTACCTCTATATAGCACATGTAAAGCCTCTGATGTTCTAGTTGCCCTTGGGCGACGCCGATTGCTTACAATCAGATGATCCGTCTTCTTGTTTACCGACTTATCCTATAAAAGAAAACGAAACGTAACACGTTTGCTAATTTCCGAATGTTAGGAGAGGTGACCTTACAATACGAATTGTTTTACTCAAACACTAGGAGAAATTTTCATAAAAATAACCTATTTAAAAAATAAAACCGAAAACTCACTTCTCCTTCTCTTAGCGAAAAATACTATAGTGCAAATTTAAGATCTATAGCTAAAGTTCCAAAGATCAATTTCCAACGTTCGGTGTTCGACGTTCGCAATAGTGTAGCCCCAGCTTTACATCAACACGTTTTGTTTTTTACAAGACGCGTGATTTTGAAGGCGCGAAATTGAAAAAGGTAAAATGAAATGGCGTCTTTGTAGAAAGGAAACTACCTATATATCGGACCCTAATGCCAAGATTTAAAGTTTTAGATGTATTAGGGACACGGAGGGATATAGAAAATTGTGTTTAGGGAAGATTAAATTGTTGTAGGGATTTTAGTTTTATTTGAGTGAGACATACTAAATTAATTGCCTCAGTGGAGGCAAATTAATTGCCTCGTTGGCCGAGTGGTCGCAAGTGCAAGGAGTCTCGAGTTCCTTTGCCCGGGTCGGGTTTTAGAAGAAATGTCAGTGGTAGCACGGAGTTTGGAATGGTGCCCGGTATATGGCAATAGGCTCACCCCCTATTACATGGGTCTCATAACATAAATAGTGAAAAGTGGGTGTTACATTGTACAGTGGCATTAAGTGCCGTAATGTCCACCTGTGCGTACCGCTTCAGGGATAAAAGGCGTAATGTTATGTGGTTTAAAAAGTTGGTTTCGTGAAGATTGAGATCCGGCACAGCGCTTTTTGCTTTAGAAGCAGCGCGCATACAACCATTTTATATTGACGGTATTGAAATATATCATACGACTAGCAACTTCCGCGCGGTTTCACTCGCTCTGCTCGGCGCCTATTAATTGTAGCGTGATGTTTTATAGCCTATAGCCTTCCTCAATAAATGGACTATCTAACACAGAAAAAAATTTTCAAATCGGACCAGTAGTTTCGGAGATTAGCGCGTTCAAACAAACAAACAAAAACACAAACTCTTCAGCTTTATGACATTAGTAAAGATATACGATTTAAAGTTTATATATAAATGACAATGACATGGCTGGGTTGGAGCCGTGCCGGAGCTGTGTGTGTTAATTGTGCGATGACAAATTCCAAGAACAAATTGCAACATGTTCTATTCCTTCCTTCTAAATTAACTATTACACGTTTTCCTCGTCAGGGGTGCGTCGTGAACAACCGTTTATTTTCTATATTATGGGAACATGCAACGTGTGATTGACATCCCTAACTAAGAGGGGTGGTTATAAAACATGTATCAACCTATCAATAATAAAAAAAGTTTGTTTCGGATTTTTTTTTTATGAAATAAGCCGGTAAACGGGTAGACGGATCACCTGATGGTAAGCAATCGGCGTCGCCCATGGACACCCGGAACACCAGATGCGTTACAAGTGCGTTACCGGCCTTTTGGGAATTAAGAGTTTGAGGATTGTGGGGGATTCGGGGATTGGGGAGACTTGGGAAGGGGGTAATTCGGCCTCTAGTAATCTCACTCACACGACGAAACACAACGCCAGCGTTGATTCACGTCTATTTTCTATGAGGCCGTGGTATCTTATTAATGTCTATTTCAAAAGTTTTAGAATGTTTTTTTGGTCGACTCATCGCAAATTCAAATCCTGAGTCAGTTTCTATTTTGGCTCCTAGTCTTCTAATGACAGATACCTACTTATATTGGATTTTATTTTTATTACGGGTCCCAAGTCTTATTTCAAAAATAAGGAAACCCACCAATATTTTTTAAGCCCGATGGTTGTATTGGAGATTTCTTGATCAAAGACAAGCTTATAACTATTAGATTATTATAATCATTAGCATAGAATTGTCTTATAGAAGTCAAACCACACGCAGTAGTCGGGGTCGCCCAATCGTAAGAGACCTTATAACAAATCGTTACTTTTCTTTTGAGTAAAGGAAAATTAGAATGTCCTTACCTCCCACAGCGATGCAGGTGAGGTTCACTTCGGTCCCTTCATCATAGGGTCCTAGAACTCCACCTCGGACCTCGTTGCCTTCGTGGTTCAGAACGATCAGCCGTTCTGGCGGTACTGCGAAATGAAAATATGTATTAATTAAATTTCTTTGGTTTAAAAAATTAAATAAAGTGGTGCAAGTGCGACTGGTCAAGGGGTCTCGGGATCGATTCCCGGGGCGGGCAAAGTATTACTGGTTTTTTTTCTTCAAAACATCTCGGTAGTAGCATGGAGTCTGGAATTGTGTTAATATATACATGGCAATAGGCTCACCCCCAATTACATAGGACTCATAATAGTGCAAAGTGGGTGTTACATTGTACAGTGATATTAAGTGCCGTAATGCGCACCTCTGCCTATCCCTTCGGGGATAAATGCGTGATGTTGTGTGGTTTAAAAAAGGCTTTGTTAAGATTGAGTTTGCTTTTTTTTCTTCTATATTGTAGGGTAAAATTAACATTGAGTTGTAGCCGAAACGAATATAATTTACACACGATGCTGCCTTCCTCAAAGCTGCTACTGCATCTTTCGAACCAAATCGAACCTGGAATGGATTATAAGCTACCCTTGATTCAGTTAGAGGCAGAAAGCTAAGCAAAATTGAACTTTATTAAAAATGGTATAAGTACTTACTTAACACAGTGAGATTCAGTCTAGTATTTTTGGTAGGCGATTTGATGAAGTCTACTCGACATCGGTACTGTCCACTGTCTTCAGGCCTGAAACAAAAATGTTTTATTAGTTAAGTAATATTTCAGAAGATTTTTTTATAACTGAAATTAATGATGGTTCACATAAAACATAAATATATGGGGAAGTGAAACTCAATATATAGGTTTTCCTTTACATATAAAAAAAATCTAATATAGCAAATTTGTAATCCTTACTGCCTCGTTGGCCGAGTGGTCGCAAGTGCGACTGCCGGGCAAGGGGTCTCGGGTTCGATTCCTGGGTCGGGCAAAGTATTACTGGGTTGTTTTTAAAAAATCCTCAGTAATAGCACGGAGTCTGGAAATGTGCCCGGTATATGGATGGGACTCATAACATAAATAGTGAAAAGTGGGTGTTACTTCTGTGTGCACCTCTGCCTACCCTTTCGGGGATAAAAGGCGTGATGTTATGTTATGTTATGTAATCCTTACTATATTATTATAAATCGGAAAGTGAGTTTGTTTGTTTGTTCCGCTTTCAGGCACTAACTACTAAACCGATTGTTTTGAATTTTTGCAGACGTAAAGTTAGAAGTTCGGATTACATAATAGGTTACTTTTTATCCCGGGAAAATTTCAAATTTGTCAATTATCTATAGATGGCGCTGTGTATGTTGGTGTATGTCACATATATTATGCTACTTTTTATCATTTTGTGACGCGAGCGAAGCCGCGGGTAAAAGCTAGTAATAGATAAATTCATATTTTATGTGAAGGCTAGGTACAGATGCATATATTAAATGTAAACAATTCTTCTTTATTCATGTTTTAACTAGGTATTACCCGCGGCTTTGCCCGCGTATTCCGCTACCATGGTAGCATTTCATCGGGATACAAGTCTATCATCTAAGTCAGCCCATCGGTACAATGCCTTTATACCAAATTTCATCAAATTCTGTTCAATAGTTTCAGCGTGATTGACGGAAAAATATACAAAGAAAAAAACTTTAACACTTTTATCTAATATTAGTTTGATTAAAGTATTTTGATATATTACCTATGGTGAGTGATTTCTGATAATCAAACTACCAAAAACTACATTCCCCGTTTTGAAAATCGAACCCAACACACACATACATGCAGCCACTTAAAAAATACAATACGTTCAACAAAAGGAATCTTAGTGACGTTCACACGAAAAGCAATAAAACACAAGACCGATTAGAACGATAGTAGCGCTGTCATCGAATCAAAATCGATATCTCATATCGATACAATAAATTTTCTAAACCATTCTGATGCTACAAATTGATGGAACTAATCGAAACGTACCGATGCGATACGATATATGAAATCGAGATATTGCTTCGAGTTATTCTTTTTTTTATCGATACGTGGCACAAGTTATGGTATCGAATGTATTTTATATCGATTGGACGGTCGATTGAATACCTATCTATTTTGTGAAGCATTTTATTATATTTGGTATAGAATTGCGGAGTGATTGTCATATTGCACGGAAAGTTATGTGTTGTTTAGTTCTCAGGTCAAGCAATTGTTTTTTTTTCTTTTTTAATTTGAAAATACATATTTCTTCTTCAATTTCTTAGAGCTCACGTTCTTCAGCTCTGCTGTTGATCCATAAGTAATCCCTAAGGTCGGATGTTACAATACCCATAGAACAGTTGGAAAAAAAAGTCAGGTCTAACAATACCCGCAGAACAGTTGGAGATCAACTAATGTAAACGCATTTATAAGACATCATCTAGTTTATTATTATTTATACATTGCAGAACGCTTACTACTCCGAAAAAATCAGTATCAAATATAGAAAACTCGACGCCGCAAACGGAAAGCAAGAAGTCTAGTATAACAAATAGAGTTTCTAGAAACATCTAGAATACAAAATGGCTGCAGCTACCCATTTGCCCGTCCTCAACCTTTCAGAGTGCAACGATATATCTTACCCTCCCTTAGAGAAACCTTAATGTTATTAAGTACCATACTATTTTTATATTTATTTTCCTTCAGACAGGCAATTGATTTAACAGGACTTGGAACTTATTAAACCAAGAGTTTTTATAAATAATTATCTTCTGCCAGTGGCTTCGCGCGCATCTCTTACGTTCTATCCCTTTTGTGGGGGGAAAATCATCAAATGACTTCTCTGGGTACGGCGGGAGGGAGTGTTAGAGTCTTACTGACTAAAAACCATCCTGTTCCTACTCCTTCACGTCGAGCCGGAGCCCCGGCAACCCGTTAAGTCCTCTGCGGCTCCGTATCCACATCAGCCCTATTGGGGCCCATCTGTGGTGGTCTGATGGCTCTTTGAGGCGCGCGAAACTTACTATCCCTATGAGTTATTCCAGATCACAATCTACTCCTGTTCCAAATTTCATTCTGATCTCTTCAGGCATTTTAACGTGGAACAAACAAACATTCGCATTAATTTTATTAGTAGGATAACGTCACGTCTTTTTTGTTAAAACTGAGAGACCTGTCCATAATAGGTCTACGCATAGGTCTGCCGACTTTTAAACAGGTATTATGTAGTGCCATCAGGCACTATATACACACATAATACCTGTTTAAAAGTCGGATTTAAGATTTAAGATAATAAGATAATAAGATAAAAAGATCGGATTTAAGATAAAGATTTAAAAGAGGATGATTCCTCTGTAGTCGAGTGTGAGCCTAATCATAGACATGGCTCAATAAATGTTGAAAATGCACTGCTAGACCTATGTTTCAAAGTCGACACCTCTTTGTTAGACAATAACAAGCCATTCTCTTTTCCTTGTTATAATTATTTAACAACAGCTTAACAAAAAACAATGGAATCGTAATCTCTTGTTTCTTCACACATATAATGAAGTATGTTTGAATGTTTGTACCCTTTTTGGAAATTCAACGCCTTTCAATTAGTATAATCTCCTCCAATCAACGGTAAAGCAATTTTCCTCAGATTACCAATTAATTAAACAATCTGATTAACGTAAATAAAAGTTTATTTGTTTTCCTTAAAGCATTGGGTGTTATGTGAGAATAACGTATGTTTTATATGAGATCGAGTGTTGTTTTTATAAAAACTTTCATGAGACTTACAAAATTTTAGGGTTGCTCGCGTGAATATACTGAGAAAAGCTCTACTAAGTAGTTTCGAACCACAGAGGGGTTCTTGCGAGCGATGTTGCGTAGCCTACTGACCAGCGTTGGCGCTTGCCTCGGTGTTGCTACTTGCGCATCTAGCCCAACGCGCTCTTTGCCGGACACCACCGCGACCGCGCACGCTGCTCATGAAGAAGAATCCCTCTGTGGTTCGAAACTAGTAGAGCTTTTCTCAGTATATTCACGTGAGTAACCTACGATTTTTATATCGAGTGTTGTTTTTACTTATTTAAACGTTTCAGAGGTACCTATATAAGGTTTGTTATCATCATCACCATCATATCAACCAGAAATGGCTACTACTGAACATAAGCGTCTCCTAATGCCTTCCAGTGCCTTTAGCCAAACGCCACTTTAGCGCTTGTCTACAGAGAGAGAGTAGAAAACTAAATGTATGGGGATGACACTGACAAGTGTCAAAATTTACGTCAATTTCATATAATTTAGTTTTCTACTCTACAAGTAGACAAGCGGTAAATGGTATTTGGCTGCAGCTTCATGTCAGCTACCTGAAAGGGACCTGAATCCAACGACTCTCTGCGACCCTTAGCAGGTCGCGTCACTGGATTAAGATAAACTCAAACATGGGCTTGTCATGCTTTAGCACGAATGCTTGACTTGGCTAGATGGATGATTGCTTACCATCAGGTGATCCGTCTGCTCGTTTACCGGCTTATCCTATAAAAAAAATTGATACCATCCATGCATGGCTTCGCAAAATTGCAAATCCCTTGGTGTCCAAGATCGGCGCTGATCACTTATCATCAGGTGAGGCTCTGTCTGCTCGTTTGTCCTCTATGCCAAAGCCGAAGGCGGAAAGCTAGTTGAACTCATAAAATACCGTAAAAAAGTAACTACAACATTAATATAAGGCTCAGAAACTACTACAAGACCCACATAAATCTTCTATGCAAAAAAATAAAACATTTAAAACATGATACATGTGGCATATCTGTTATCTTTTAATTAGAAATATTATAGTAAAGCATTACGGAGTCTATTCAGTGGACCCAACAAGTCATTAGGTGTAGCTTATAGCCTTACAGCCCGCAGTTGTGTTTGGCCTTAATTAATACCATGTTTTAGGCCATAAAACCCCGTACACACCGAGTTATGTTCGGGTTTCAGTTTATCTTTGTAGTTAAAAGTTAGTGTGTAGTTGAGGGATCACCGTGAGTGTAGATTAGGTTTTACATATTTTAGAGTTTTCGTGTGTTTCATATTTCATGTTTTATGCTGAAATAAACCTTTTTGGTTACCGGTTCATGGTAGACATCTCATTCACACGCACAAAGCGCTTCGCATCAAGCTTCCTTGTGCTAAGGAGTGGAATTCTTTGCCAGAGTCTGTATTTCCTGAATGGTAACTAGGTGTCTTCAAGGCTCGAGTGAATAGGTTGCTTATGGTCAGACGTGCTCCATCGTAGACTGCATCATCGCTTCCCACCAGGCGAGATAGTGGTCAAACGTGGAGCCATCAAATATATGTATATAAAAAATATAGGTATAAATATATACCAGCCTACGCGAAATGGACAGTTGCATCCTAAAAATTTTTGGAGACCTAACTATGATTCCTAAGTTAATTGCAAAGCGAGGCTCAATGATGACAATAGAGTATTGTATTGTTGGTCATCTCCCGTTGATCATTAGATTTAAAATGAAAGAAGTCACACGTGGCAAACATAACAATCTCGGGATTCGAAATCCGAATTATATTTTTTAAACGTTGCCCCGCACTAGGATTTTCTTATATGTCGTGAGTGCGTTTACAAACATACAAGTTCACATACACATGACACCCAGACCCGGAACAACAATTTGTGGATCACACAAAGCTTTGCTCCGTGCGGGAAGCGAACCCGCGATACGTTGCGCGGCAGTTAGTTGCCCAGCCACCGCACTAACCGTGCACTCATTGAATTGAGTGTTTTCATAATATTCTTACCTTAATTTAGTGAGGACAAGTACAGCAGGTCTGGTGTCACTCCGGAAGGTGGCCCTCACTCCTAGAGTGGCGTCCGCCCAGTGTGACGTCACGCCCTCCCGAGTATCCAATCTGAGGACAAAGAGGCACGTTTAGTTAGTTGTAATAGGTTCGACTCCTGCGTAGCTTGGTTTTAAAGTAGGTACATACAAAAGTTTATTTTTAAAACACAGCTATGACAATTCTTAACAAAATTGCGTTAGAAGAAAATATATTCAGTCCAATTTTGTTGTCTAGGTTATTCAAAAAGCATTAGGTATTCAAAAAGCTTCCTGCCTCGCACAGCAAAACTGTGGAATGATCTGTCGTCGGCGGTATTTCCGAACCGATACGACCTTCAAACCTTCAAGAGAAGAGCGTACTCCTTTTTAAAGGGCCGGCAACGCACCTGTGACTCTTCTGGTGTTGCGGGTGTCCATGGGCGGCGCTGATTGCTTACCATCAGGTGATCCGTCTGCTCGTTTGCCTCCTATTCCATAAAAAAAAAAAGGTATGCAACAACGCATTTGAAAACCAAAATTTCAAAATAATTCAATAGTAACTTTTTTCTTTAACCAAACTTTGTGTAGGTAAAGTTTAATCAAAATGAAAACACATAAATAATATTGACTCAAAAATCAAACCTGAGACGCTACAGTCATACCACTTCAAAACTAATATCAAAGCTTATATCACACTCGATCTAGTCGTATGAAGAGCTTTTCAAACAATGACAAAGCAATTTCAGTTTTAATAATACTAGTATAAGGTATATGTTACAAAACGGTATTTACTTTTAAGAGCTTTAAGATAAAGTGAGGTTAAGTTACATGTATCGAGGTTATGTTTTGGATGGGTGACAAGAGTTTCCGTATTTTGAAGACGACAATTTAACGTAAGACGTTTAAACTGTCAAACACCAAGCGGTCACCGGTGACCGCAACCTATTGTTCTATAATTGTGTCTACAAAACCGGTACTCGACGAGTTAATTGTCTTAATAATAAATCTGGTAAAAATCCCAGTGCGATTTCTATTCCTAGATTGATTAAAATACCCCTACTTACGTCATAGAACCATCAGACCACCAGTAGGGCTGATGCCGGATACGGAGCTGCTGAAGGCCTAACGGTTTGCCGGCTCGACGAGCAGGAGTAAGAACGGTGTGGTTTTTAGTCAGTAAAAGCTTGACTGTTTTTTATAAATCCTCGGTAGTAGCACGGAGTCTGGAATTGTGCCCGGTACATGGCAGTAGGCTCACCCCTTATTACACGGGACTCATAACATAAATATTGAAAAGTGAGTGTTACATTGTGCAGTGGCATAATGTATACCTCTGCCTACCCCTTCGGGGATAAAAGGCGTGGTGTTATATTAAAAGTCTGACATCCCTCTCGCCTAACCCAAGGCGGGAGAAGTCATCGGACGATATACCCCCTCAAAAAAAAAATTAAATCAATTAACAATTTATGTTCGTAATTCTATGATCAGATGGTATAATGACACTATTAACTTAACAGACTTATTAGCATAAAGCATAATGTTACCCCACAAAGATCAAACACGAAACCGATACCCATTCACATAACGAAACCCAACAACTGCTACTCTATATCGTTAAAAATAACGATATAATAACGTGTTGAATAACGGATAATAAAACGGTTAAATAACTATTTAGTTATCTATACCGTGCACCTTCCGTGAGTTATATAGATTTAGAAAATTGACCGTAAAATAATTATGATGATAGAAAGATTGAACTTAGTATACGCTACGCCAAGTTCTTTTTTTTTGGGATGCGTTTCCTCCATAGCGGTGGGTAGTGTTGTAGTTCACAATCAAGGTTAAATTGTTCTTCAAAAGGGAAGACACAAGTCCATTTAATAAATTTAATTTAGTTTCTACTAAACCAATAGTACGTAGCAAAGAAAACACACAGCTTATAATTAAGACAATTAAAAGATAAAAATTTGGGTTTTCTTTAAACATTATTATATAACTTGATTGACAAGTGATACTACGGCCTCACAGAAAACCGACGCGAAACAACGCTTATGTTGTGTTTCGTCGCATGAGTGAGGTTATCGGAGGCCCAATTACCCCTCCCCTACTTTCCTAATCCCTGAATCCCTAACAATCCTCAAATTCCTAATCGCAAAAGGCCGGTAACGTACTTGTAACGCCTCTAGTGTTCCAGGTGTCCATGGGCAACACCGATTGCTTACAATCAGGTGATCCATCTTCTCGTTTACCGGTTTATCTCATAAAGAAATAAACAAATCTTTTATATGGTTTATGTTGTTACTGTGGAAAAAATCTTATATCTCATATACATATAAAGTTGGAGAGTTTGTTTGTTTGTTTGAGCGCGCTAAAGTCAGGAATTATTGATCCGTTCTGATCTGTTTTTGTGTTGGATAGTCCATTTATTGAGGAAGCCTATAAAACATCACGCTGCAATCAATACGCACCGGGTAGTGCTGGTGAAACCGCGCGCTAGTAGCTAGTAATAGAACATAATGCAAGCTAAGTATGTTTCAGAATTATACGTAAAAAGTAAGAAACGTGTTTCATATTCGTGTTTTTGAATAGACAAATAGTTATTTTCGATAATATATTCAAATTATTATTTATAGTAATATGTTTTGTATTGTAATGTAGTGTAGAATTGGTTTAATTCGAAATGTATAGATTCAATACATTTCAACAGTTAATTTGTATAAATGTATAGTTTTCATTGTATTTTATTAATTTATAGTTTAATATTCTTTGTAGTTTATTATAGAAATTGATGTAGAAGTAGATTATTTTTGGGATTAAACATATTGAAAATATATTATTATTTATAGTTTCATATTTGCATATTATTATTGTGTGGGAACATAAGATGATTATTTTTCGTTTACTGATAAGATATGGACATATTTAGTTAATTATTGAATAACGGAATAATAAATTCAATATCCCATTATGCATAATACCTACTAGTTATTATTAAGCCTATTCGATAGTATCTATAATAAAAAATATATATATTTCTTAAAGTTAATTTAACATTTTTATTCTTGTTGTTAGTAACATAACATAATATGACGCCTTTTTATCCCCGAAAGAGTAGGCAGAGGTGCACATTACGGCACTTATTGCCACTGTACAATGTAACACCCACTTTTCGCTATTTATATCATGAGTCTCATGTATTACGCGGTAAGCCTATTGCCGTATACCTGGCACAATTCAGACGCCATGCTCCTACTGACATTTTTTCAAAAAACCCAGTAATAGGTACTTTGCCCGACCTGGGAATCGAACCCGAGACCCCTTGCTCGGTAGTCGCACTTGCGACCACTCGGCCAACGAGGCAGGCAGTTCATTTGTCGTTTAAATAAATATTAACTTAAACAAATGTGAATCCCTATACCTACTCATTTATGTGTTCTCACTTGTGTGGCATTGGTCGTATTTACCGCTGCCTGACGAAGGTATTCAAGTAGATAACATTTTTTTTATAAGACAAAAATATCATGAAGTTGTTCACTGAAATACTGAAAAACTTGTAAAAAAACAAGTGGAAATGCAATTAATATCACCATCCGAGCTTGGCAGGTTGCTTGGTAGCTGAGTTAACTAAGAAAAAACTTTTTTAACCTTTTTTAAAAGTCATTTGTTTTAGTCTTGTAAAATATGAATTTCATAATTGATTAAGGTACTGCCGTTTTCATCGATAACCCTAAACTAAAAGTTACTTTCCATAGCTCGCTTTATTATTATTGCACAAATTTTAACTCAAATTGTAATATTCTAATAATGTTTCAAATGTATGTACCTAATATATTCGTATGTCTATGACGGCAAAATATAGTCGACTATCTTTATATGTAAGACCTTATTATGTAAACTACCTATGTTTACCAAATAAATGATTCTGATTCTGATTCATAATGTGACCATTTCCAAGTTATATGTAGGTACTGTCTAAAATTATCTAGACACCACTGACAGACGGTGAAGGAAAAAATCGTGAGGAAACCTGGACTTATAATTTCTAATTATAAGTTTGAAATCGCCAAACCGCATTGAGCAAGCGTTGTGTATAATGCTCGAACCTTCTCCGTGTGAGAAGAGGCTTTGCTCATCAGTGAGCATTTATAGACTGTTGAAGATGATGATGATACTTTTTACAAATAACTTAAACCACCTCTTCTGTAAAATAAATGTTACGATCAACAAAACAACATACATACACACACATACACACAATAATAAGTAATAACCCTCCAATTAATAGCGTTCGTTAACCCTAAAACGCCAGCGTCATCCGAATCCCTCGATCACGAATAAGCCTTCGTTTAAACAGAAAAAAAAAACAAACGTTTGACAGCCGACAGGAAACGTTTGACAGTAGTGACATGAGATCCAAATTGACAGATTATGTAAAGGATTATATTTGACTAGCAGTGTTCGATGACGCTACTTGACTTTTGTAGTATTTTTTGCGTGAGAACTAAAGACGGTGGTATATTTTTTTTTTGTTTTAAGGTTCGGCGTCCTTATAAAGGATTTAACGGATCCCTTTTAGAGTCACTTTTTGTCCGTTTGTCTTTGTATCTGTCGATATTATAAGTATTTAGCGCTGATTTATTATAGTTCTCAGAGGTGATGGCAGGGTACAATGTATTTTGAGAGACTTCTTACCTCTTTTTTTATAATAAATATCGTGAAATATACACCGCACACTTAATACGGCCGGTAACGCACTTGTAATGCCTTTGGTGTTCCAGGTGTCCACGGGCGACGCCGATTGCTTACCATCAGGTGATCCGTCTGCTCGTTTACCGTCTTATGCCATAGAAAAAAAAGAATGCAACCGAAAATGAAGACAATATTTTACAAATGTAATCGTTTCTCTTTTTGTGATATTTATGCAAGCAATATCAGCCGATTACTTGAGCAGTCGATTACTATTATTACACGAAATAAATATTTAATTTCCTTACTTTTTTTTTAAGTAGATGTTTTACTAAGATAAGTTGTCCTCTGTGTCTTTAACCCATTAGAAGTCACTGTACTCATATGAGTACACCTAAAATTCTACGCATAAACTTAATATCTCTTATATTTTTGTAGAGTAACCCTATTATCTTAATTCATTATAAAATTGTCTAACTATATTGATAAATTATATGAGGGTAGTGCGATATTTTTTTCACATTATTTACGTTGCCCGCCAATCTACTTCAAAATCAAAACCTACGTGGCGGAAATGTGCAATCCTGCAAAATGGAGTTGGACACTATCCACTAAAAATTTAAAAGCAACTACGATGTGTCCTTTGTCATTCAAGAGTACCTACGTTGGCAATGTAAAAAGTGCTAAAACACTTTGTGTAGAAATATCGTGTTTTAAAAATTTTCATACTTAGGTGGTCAGTGTACCCAATTGAGTACACACCTAAATTATCATGAAAAATACTATTTTCCATTTTTTTTCTCGCATTTACTGTTCTTATACTCTCAGTTGATTACGAAAATAAACAGAATTAATAAAAAATATTGGTACTTTTTATTTGACCTTTAATGGGTTAATACAAATTGTGGACTTTAATACAAATCATTTTAAGCCACAGTTTCCTATTGACTGCCTTATTGGCCGAGTGGTCGCAAGTGCGATTGCCGGGCAAGGGGTCTCGGGTTCGATTACCGGGTCGGGCAAAGTATTACTGGGTTTGTAAAAACCTCAGTAGTATCACGGAGTCTGGAAATGTGCCCGGTATATGGCAGTAGGCTCACCCCCTATTACACGGGACTCATAAGATAAATAGTGAAAAGTGGGTGTTACATTGTACAGTGGCATTAAATGCCGTAATGTGCGCCTCTGCCTACCCCTTCGGGGATAAAGGCGTGATGTTATGTTATGTTATGTAGTTTCCTATTGAATTGTACTTAAATTCGCCCCAAAACTAACCACATCACGAATAGACGCAGCGTACACATTAAACGACAAGTTTCAGATAATGTGTCCTACAAACAAACGAACAAACAAAAATGGCTCTTTCTTTGTTTTAATGTCGCAACTTGGGATCGTATTCACGGAATTTTCAATACCTTTTTATGACTATGGTTGTACTGAAACTTCTTTCAGGGTTTTCAGGAAGTACGATACGATTTAACTTTGCGATATTTGAGTTTGATTGTATTTCTAAATTAAACTAGGTTTAACTCGTTGAGTACCGTCATTATAGACACAATTAAAGAACAATAGGTTGCGGTCACCGGTGTCCTCGCGGTGTTTGACAGTTTAATGACATAACATAACATCACGCCTTTTATCCCCGAAGGGATAGGCAGATGCACATTACGGCACTTAATGCCACTGTGCAATGTAACACCCACTTTTCACTATTTATGTTATGAGTCCCATGTAATACGGGGTGAGCCTATTGCCATATACCGGGTACATTTCCAGACTCCGTACTACTACTGAGAATTTTTACAAAACCCACAAATAATTTGCTCGACCCGGGAATCGAATCCGAAACCCCTTTTCCGGTAGTCGCTCTTGAGACCACTTGGCCAATGAGGCAGTCTAGGTTTAATATGTATTAGAAACGGTTGAGGTAGATTCAACATCACGTAAAGGCTTACTATATTCGAAAGGGTAGGCAGCAGCACACATACTCAATGTAACACATATACCAAGCACAATCCCAGACTCTGAGCTGTTACTGAGAAATAAGCAAAAAACGAAGGCATCCTATTTATTTTTTATCTAACAAAGGAATCAAAATCAAAACCTATTGCTCGGTAGCAGTGCTTGCAGCCAGTCGACTAACGAGGCAATCGTATTTATCGATTTATTTCTAATACCTTAATACTGTAGAGGTATTACACACCACCATATTAAATAGAGAACAAAAAATAAACATAGTGTACCATTGGTGGTATTATCGTAAAAGGCGATTCGTTACATCACAAATATGAAGTGGCTATGTGACTAACACCTACCCAAAACAACAGTTCGCTATCATACAAGGAACAGTACAGAGTGTTCATCCCCTTCATCCTCCTTTCATCCACCTCTCATCCTCCCATTGAGGGGTTCAAGCCATCATTTAAACCCTTTGATATAGCCTCCAGACATAGATTTAATCCCAGACCCTACGTAACGACTGTACCTAGATAATCTTAAATCAATACTTGGTTTTGGTGACATGACATCATGCCTTGTATCTAACTCGTAATTGTACACGTAACACATAACAAAACGCCTTCCATCCCCGCTGAGGTAGGCAGAGGTGCACATTACTGCGCAATATAACACCTACTTTTCACTATTCATGTTATGAGTCCCATGTAATAGGGGGAGCCTATTGCCATATATCGAGCACAATTCCAGATTTCGTGCTACTACTGCGATTTTTTTAAAACCCATTATTACTTTCCCCGACCCGGGAATCGAACTCGAGACTTACGACCACTCGGCCAACGAGGCAGTACAATTAACTAAAATTTGTTCTCTTGATTACCTCTACAAAGACAAATAACTAATAAACCCCTTTTTTTCAATGCTTATGTAAGTCTAATACAATAGGGAATGAACCTATTGTCCATTTCAGACATTACTAACAATATCCGAAATATTAATAATAAAAACATTACAATAAGTAATCATGCCACGTTATCCCATAAAAAATCAGGGAAACGAACCAGAGATCCCATGGTCAACGCTAGCGCTTGACTTTCAAACTAGAAAACTTTGTAATCTAATATACTAAACACAATTACGACGAACCAATCACGTCACATTAACAAAACGCTTCAACTGTCAATATTACCCGACGCCATCTTGGATCGCCATCTTGAATCGAACTGTCATTCAAGCGGGATCGCGGTATTTTTGATACCCTCTCAACTTAATGGCGGCTTAAACGTATTAGTTATATCGAACTGATCATAAGTCGGTGACGATGTAGGAATGTAACATTTTACTGCCTCGTTAGTTATTGGTCGATATCGACTTTGTAACTTATCTGTGATACTTGGAATAGTCGGTAAAGTAGTTATTATGTATCTAGTTTTCGGTAGTGTGTTTTGTGTGCATTGTAATTGGGTATAGTAGTATTGGCTAGCTTTAGGTTCTGTGTTGTAATACTTTATTGATTAATTCGAAAAAAGGTCGTGATAGACTCACTTGTCACAATTTTTTAAACTAGCCAAAAAATGCCATGCAAAAGTGTTCTTTAAGTTCCGACTAGCGAATATAAAAGTTTATTTTCATTATTCGCATTTACAGTCACTAAACTTACAAGGGAGTTTACAATTTAATATAAATATGACGTCACAATCTCACAATCAACGTTGACAACAACGCTTCGAATTAATGGATATACCTATCAATCAATATACTAAACACAAACACTGACAATTTACATAGAATATGTATGTTATAATTACTATGTTACGGTAACAATAAACCAAAACAGACATTTCTCAGAATTTCCGACTCAAACACCGACGACGCTTGCCTGCTGTGTAATGCTCAAAGTCTAGGATTGAAATTTAAATATATCTAGGATTGAAATATATCTACTTAATTGAAAGTAAAATATCAATAAAATACGACTAGCTGTTTCTTCTTTAACATATTAAGTAGCCCGTTTGAAAGAGTATTTTATCGAAAGAACTACTGGGCACGAGTAAATAGATAACAGACCTAGATTCTGGCCCGATTAAACGAAACTGGTTGTATTATACATGACACCCATTGACATACATACATAATTTCACGCCTGTCTCCCACGGGGGAAGGCAGAGACTTTGGAACGCCAATGAATACGATTCTTACATACCTCTTCCGTTTCATCAACAGTCATTAGTCTTTTCGTGGATGCTCGTTTGTTAAGGGTACTTTTAATTTGGCCCAGTTTAGTCAACATTCCAATCAAATTCTATGATATAGTTTAGCTAACCATCCTAAACCTGATTGAATATTAAAATTATCAAGCATTTAATTACTAGACATACTTCTTTATGTTAATTGGATTAATCATTTGAGGAGCAAAAGACGTTATTGTTTATTAGTAAGACCAAACATTGACCGATGTACCAACTTTGACAACAACATAATATGCGCAGGTACTAATATAATATATCTTGAGTAAATCTATCCGCATATTAAGACGATACCAATCACTATGAGCAATGTATCTGATAATTGGTGTTCATCCTGCTATCATACGTTAGAGTTTCTTGTTAATATGAGGCGTGTTGCGGGATTGGGAGGGAACATCTACTGTTTTCATAATATCTATCGTGAGGTATGTCTCAAAGTACCTACAGGGATTTTCGAAAACCGAAAACACTCCATAATGCCTTAAACTTAGGAATCGAAACCATCGCACAAAACATTCTATAATAAATGCTGTTGATTTCACTAATATTACTAACTTAAAAAAAATCGCAGAGGTGTTCTTCGTGCAGGAGTAGGAACGGGGAGGTTTTTAGTCAGTAAGCGTCTGACACTCCCTCTCGCCTCACCCGGGCGGGAAAAGTCATTGAATGATATTCCTCTCTCAAAAAACGGGGTCTTCCTCATGAGCAGCGTGCGTGGCCGCGTCGATGTCGCGCAGCCTACTACGAAACGAGTAGAGCTTTTCTCCCGTGAGTAACCCGCGATTTTTAGTCAATTTAACAATAGTTTTTATAAAAATATTATTAACTAGAACAAATACTAAAACTCACGTATATATAGGCGACTCGTGGCCCTGCTTGTACCAGATGACCAGCCCCATCCGATCGTCAGGCAGCGCTGGTGTGACGTCACAAGGTAGTTCCACGCCACCCCCTGTCGGTGCGTGTAGGGACTCGATTGATGCTGTAACAAAGACATTGTGGTGGTTAGATTTCCATGCTACTTCCACAGAAGAGAAATGACACAGACAAATATGCTAGTTATATATATGTATATAATAAACATTGTTTAGATTTAACAGTTTTTTTTTATATTTTATGGGACGACGTTTGACCACTATCTCGCCTGCTGGTAAGCATTGATGCGGTCTACGATGGAGCACGTTGTCCCATAAGCAACCTATTCACTCGGACCTTGAAGACACCCATACCTTTCAGGAAATACAGACTCAGAAAAATATAGTTCATCTCATACATTCGTTTTATTTTAAGTAAGATATGTAATTGAAAGTGGTGATCAATGCTCAAATCTTCTCCGTGTGAAAAGAGGCTTTGCTCAGCAGAGGGCAGTTATAGGCTGCTGATGATAAAGCTAATGTAGAAGAACTTAGGGAGAACTTTGGGCAGCAGTGACTAGATGAATTTTGACATAGAAACCAAACTCTAGATACGTTACTTTGACCATCTCTTGACCAATGTTGTAACTTACCAATATTGCCATTGACAACATAAAAAGGTCTTTTTTAAGGGGAAAATAATCGAATGACTGCTCCCGCCTGGGTAGGCGGGAGGGAGTATCAAACTCTTACTGACTAAAAAACACCCCGTTCCTTCTCCTGCACGTCGAGCCGAGCCCCGGTAACCCGTTAGATTCTCCGCGACAACATAAAATATATTATGTATTGCTATATTATTTAATAATTCCCATATTTTTTTTCTATTTTTTTCTCTCAGTACTTTACTTTTCGCAGATTTTCTACTTAAACCCTAAGGTTGACTGGTATAGAATGCCATATGGCATTAAGTTCGCCTTATGTGCCATAATTAAATTGTGTACATTAAAGACTAAATAAATAAAAAAGGTCTGCATTTATTACAATTAAAGATAAGATACAAAAATACGTGAAGAAAAACGAACAAACGAAGAAATATACTTCCACATTTAAATAATTATAGCAGATTTTTACTTAAGATCCCTTGCGACAAAACAAACCAAAAACGGCTGTAAGTAAATATAAACATCAATTTTAACGGATATCCCAAGATTACAGTGTCCAAGCATTAATTGGGAGAAAAATGGCCGCTTCCCCGTGTCAGAAGCTCGAGGGCCCCATTTACGATCACAACGCCCTCTGCCGATACTAAATTATTTGCTGAACTACCGAATTACAAGGTACAAGATGTTGCCAATTACTTCGCAGTGTTAACCGACTTTAAAAAAGGTAAGGTGCGTAATTAGGGTTCTTGTTTTTTGGTGTGATATTTTATGGTGTTGCTTCGTTAAGTATGAATTAAAGGTTGCGCAAGTTATTATTTTTTTCTCATTTGTTGGATATTGACCCAAAACACGTGTTCACTTTTAAAGAATCCAATGTTAATAGATTACAGTACAAATTTTTTGGTTTTTCTTATGATTATTTCCATTGGAATAAAGAGCAATGATTCATCATCATCATCATCATTGTCATCATTTCAGCCACAGGACGTCCACTGCTGAACATAGGCCTCCCCCAATGACTTTCAGATTCCAGATAGGCCGGTTGGAAGCGACCTGCATCCAGCAATGATTGCGTTATGATATTATAAAACAATTTCGAAATAAAAACCGTTTATAACTGTATTAGTGTTGTTACTGAGAATTTTAAAATAAAAAGCCCTATGAGGTAGTAGGTAATTTTAATACAGAGAAAAATATTCGCAACTCAATGCGGTACCATATTTAACAATGCCAATTTCATATGATTCTGAATGACTATAATAAAAGTATTATAATGGCAATGATTCATCGTATCACCGCCAGCGAGTGTGCAATAATCACAGTGAAAAAATCGGACAAGTGCGAGTTCGATGGTAAGCAATTGGCGCCACACTAAGATGATGGACACCTGGAACACCAGAGGTGTTACAATTGCGTTACAGACTTTTTGGGGATTATGGATTTGAGGTTTGTTCGGGATTTGGGGATTGGGGAGATTAGAGATATTTAATCACACACAGTGAAACAAAATGTAGTTTTACGTCGGTTTTCTGTAAGGCCGTGGTATTACTCCAGTCGAGTCGGCCCATTCAGTAATTAAATTTCGTAACATTTACTGAATGCCTATGTATTGAATTAGGTACCTGAAATATTTATCAAGTACAAAGTCAAGGTTTCAACTATTTAAATATCTTGGTCCATGAGATACTTATTAATAGGGAGTATTTTAACCTCTGAAAAATATCAGTAATAATCCCGCTGATATTTTATCGAGATAAAAATTGCAACCCTGGAATAAATATCGAGCTAAAATGATACATCAGTGGGCATGGGGCATTATTATAATATTATGGCTTTCGGGCACAATTATTATGGATTTTTGTTGCTTAACCGACACAGTAACAAGGTGGATAATGTGCTTTGTGGCCTGTGATGTATGATATAATTTGCAAGTGATTTAGACTGTGTGAAGTGAAGAATTTTGTGTAGATGTTAAATTTTACTTACTATTTATATTCAGATAAGACCATTGAGTCTTAAAACTTTCAATTACAATTAAGTGTAGGAGAGCCATGCTTCAGCATGAAAGGACCGGCCGGGAACGCTCAACTGGCGTGATACCACGGCCTCACAAAAAACCCACGTGAAACAACGCTTGCGTTGTGTTTCGTCGTGCCATTGTAGTTAACGAAGTGATCTGTCTGCTCGTTTAGTCTCGTTTAGTTGTTCGGCGTATCCATTAAAAAACACAACACGACTAAAACAATCGTAGGTAGATAATTTATACCGCCACCCCTATAATATTAAGTTCTACAGCTAATGAACCCACAGTTTCAATTAACAGCAATTACCCAAGAACACGATATCAATGTAATCTGTAACACTAATTATAGTAAGATGAGTAGGTATGCATTAATCCGCTAAGGGTTGGGTAAAGATGTATTATGCATTAGCATGCAAATTGATGTTCATTCTCTGATGTGGTAACACGTCTAGCGCACAAAGCCGAGAACGAATTTTCGTTATTTTTGGAGGTTTTTAGTTTTTTTTAATGGTATTGAAACAATAAGGACAATACAATAATACAGCTCCCGTTCACGAACATAACACATATACCAGCAATGCCCAAATCAACCATATTGTTATCGAGAGATCCAATGCACGTGCCACTGCCAATCAAATCTTCGACGATCATAAGACACGTCTTTTTTCTTTTCTAACAAAATTAAATAACACATAACATAACTTAACATCACGCCTTTTATCCCCGAAGGGGTAGGCAGAGGTGCACATTATGCCACTGTACAATGTAACACCCACTTTTCACTATTTATGTTATGAGTCCCATGTAATAGGGGGTGAGCCTATTGCCATATACCGGGCACAATTCCAGACTCCGTGCTACTACTGAGAATTTTATTTTAAAACCCAGTAATACTTTGGGACCGGCTCGGGAATTCAACCCGAGACCCCTTGCCCGGCAGTCGCACTTGCGACCACTCGGCCAACGAGGCAGTCGGCCATTATCTAAATGACGGACTAATTAGATTATTAATTTTCATACTCTGGCAACTACGTTGATTCTCCATTATTTTGCTACTGTCCTACTGGTCCCTCTATTGTTCAGTTTACTAGTTCTATTAGCATTGGTGACATCAATAGTTGACCACGAGCTCGCATTGGTCATAAAATCAGTTCGTGATTCGGTTATTATGGCAACCGATTTACATGGAAACAGAACGATTATATTAGATTGTACTTATTCTATTGATCATTATAGGCCAACCAGCTCATAGTTGCAGCTATGCTTGCGTTAAAAAATACTCCATATTAACTAGAGGTACTTAAAATCGCGGATTACTCACGTGAGTAATGTTACTCTGGACCATAATCTATCCCTGTTCCTAATTTCATTCCAATCTCTTCAGCTGTTTCGATGTGATTGAGTAACAGACATACCTACACACAGATATAAGATATACAAACTTTTGCAATTTATAATAGTAATCATATACTATCTATATATAGAGGTATATAAATGAAACCCGTTTCCCGTTGTCACGCCATAACTTGAGAACGGTTGGACCGATTTGGCTGATTTTTGTAGTGTTTGTTATCGTTAGGAGAAGGTTCTTATGACAGAAAAAAATCCTGAAAATCCTACGGGATTGGGAGAAACGGGATTGCGCGAAGTCGCGGGCAGAAACTAGTATTATATAAAGTTAAAGAGTTTGTTTGTTTGAACGAGGTTATTTCCAAAACTACTATTCCGATTTGAATAATTCTTTTTGTGTTGGATAGTGCATTTATTGAGGAAGGCTGTAGTCTATAAAATATCATGCTGCGATTAATAGGAGCTGAGCAGAGCGTGTGAAACCGCGTGGAAGTAGCTAGTATTATATAAAGTTAAAGATTTTGTTTGTTTAAACGCACTAAGCTCCAAAACCACTGGTCCGATTTGAATAATTCTTTTTGTGTTGGATAGTGTATTTATCGAGGAAGGCTGTAGTCTATAAAATATCACGCTGCAATCAATAGAAGCTGAGCAGGCCGGGTGAAACAGCGCGCAGGTAGCTAGCAGTGAGATACGATCTTTAGAATATTATACATAATACTTAATATATTCATTCATTCATCAAATCATATGTACCTATTAAATTTATAAATTCACTGAATTTCACTAACGACAGAACGATCTACATTAAACCACTAAATATTGCAAGTAATGTAAGGAAAATAGACGAAAAGTGAAGCAACAAAAGCCTTTGCTGAAATTTTCAGGAAGCCGCACAACTTCGATGCATAGCCTTGAGGAGACGCGACTGATTGGTCCATTATGACGAAAATTGAAGTCGCTACCTTCTACCCGTTGCCTGAAACCCCTGAAAGTAGGATTCAGCCGTCATTCACAATGCCAGCTATTACACTGAATATAAGGAAAAATATCTCATGGCTGTCAATTTGTGTAGTAACATTGCGTCTTGAAT